ATTAGGAGATTAGGAGGCCATAGAAAATAAAGCAAAGGGTCTGGCGGTGCAGGCAGATCTGCTGGCCTTGAAGGAAACTCACTCGCACACACACACTCGCACAGGCCTACCAGACAGGAAGTGGTGGATAACAGAAACAGCTTGTTCCCCTTAAGTCTCGGCGAGGAGCGGTTCAGCGCCGTCTTTGGCCGGTTTGATGAAACTGAGAGGCGGAGTCTACGGAGTGTCCGGGGTGATGAGCTCGGGGGGTTTGGGGGGATTCTTCTGCCAGCTGGGATGACATGAGGGGGGGAGGCCCAGATGGTCGGAGGTGGGGGTGAAGTCCTTGTTTGTGCGCGTTGAGGGTAAGCACCAGGTTAGACACAACATTGGTGTTTAGGCCCTGGACACAACAGGGCTTTGTGTGGGAGTGGAGGGGGGGTCACAGCTTAAGGAGGGCAGGGGTGGGGGGTGTCCTGATTTTGCTCTGTTTTACATCAACACGGGGCTCAAACGAGAGAGGGGAAATCGCAAACAAAGAATCCTCTGAGAGGGAGCAGCAGAACGTAGATGAGATTCCTCGTTGTCTGAAGCACTTCAGGTGTACGTGGTTCCTTTTCTTTCTTCCTCTGAAGAGAGCGTAGCCTGTGGAGCAGGAGGTCACTGAGGCTTTGAAGACATCAAGGGAGAAGGTTCCCTCTTTAGTTCTGCCTCGTTACCGTTTTCCTCCTGTGCTGTCTCTGGGCTCTTTTTGTCATAAACTTCTTTCATACTTTACATCAATTACTCTCAAACTACAGCATTGTTTTTTTTTTCTTCAAAGTTTAGTTTCGTTCATCCAAATGTGTTGTTGTACAGGTGTGCATTTTCTATACTCCCTCCCTGGTCAGACTTGCGTTGCAAAATGTTTGCACGTAATTATTTTCTATTTAACTACCAAGTTCCAGCAGTAATCATTTGTAGATCCCCATAAAACCTTCCGTTGGATTTTTGATTATTGCAAACACAGTTCATGATAGGAACACATCTTCCTAAATGAACTACACCGCGGTCAGATGACAGCGAGTGTACACAATGAAGCTTTGAAGGTGGATTTGTCATCTCAATTGTTAGCAAACGCATTTTGTGCGTAAAATAGTGATTTGTGGTCAACAGTGGTTTACGCGGTAGTTTGTCCACTTTTGTTTTTTAATGCCGTAGACCAAGACGGTAAGATCTCTTAAGTTTGTGTCAACTGCAGACTTTGGTTTTATGGTTTGATGCCAGAAATATTCAGAAAACCTTGAGGCAAAAACAAGTTGAAACATTCCAGGACTCATTCCTGCAGCATTCTGTTTGAATACAGAAGTTAGTCAGCAGCGTAACAATTTGTGTCAAGGTTCACCCGAATGGGACTCAATGTGAAAATTCCATTTAAAATGTGTCATGTTGTTCAAAACTTGTTTGTGTGACTGGTCCGATATGATGACGATGTCGGATTAGAAAACACAACCGTGACACCAAGAAAACTAAAGCAAACGTTAAAGTCGTCGTTGTTTTACTCAATGAGCTGAACGACCCTGATCGGTCAACGCTTCATGGATCCCGCTCACATCTGATATAAACTAAAAGATACAGTTTAACGACGGTCATCCCCTCACTTCACCGAACTGTGGTTCCCCGCCAAGGCACAGTGACCACAGTGTGCTGTGCGATCACCCGGCTGTGATGGACCGCGGAGAAGCTCAGGTCCACCAAACCATTCCGTCTCCCGTCGTCACGACGACAAAGCTGTGGGCTTGTTGTTGTTCCTGTTTATATATATCTACAGTATAGTTTAATTGGAATGCATGGTACAGCGTAAGCATGTCATTAGCATAGTCATTGTAGTGGAGTATTGGTACCCACCGTGTTTGTGTGCGCCTAAGTGCCTAAGTGTATTCAGTATGCGTAGTACGCAGCTGCTCTGCGCGTTGGAGTATCTGCTCTGTATTCCTGACGCCGTGCTGTGGGATTGTTGCTCCTTTAATTATTCTCTCATATTAAAGGATCAAAGGTCTCTGCCACAGTCAACCCCCTGCATTTAATTATAGCTGCGCTCACACACACACAAGCTTCTGTGTGCACACACCTTGACATGGACACACTTGGGGACATCAATTGTGTGCAATTTTTGATTTATAAACGTCAGTTTTTGCAATCATAAAAGGTTTAAATGTTTGCCGCCTCAAGTTCAGCGTGCTATTTGATTGGACTCCTTGGTGAGTCCCTTTATCAGCCGAGAGCCACCAGCAGTCCTCATGGGGGTGTCACCGGTCACCCTCCGGCATGAGGAACGGAGCATGTTTCATTCTCCTCGAGTACTTTCGTGTGTGTGTGTGTGTGTGTGTGTGTGTGTGTGTGTGTGTGTGTGCGCGCGCCAACGAGTGCCCAAATGTGCGTGCCCCTCTGTGTCTTTGCCCTCTCTCCTTTACTCCATCGCTGGGCCAAACCAATCCGCCCCTCCCGCTTCCTGGAGATGCTCCTGCTGACGGGGGGGTGGGGGGCGCTTCTCCAGCGCTGCACCCACAGCCCTTTGGTGCTCCCATGATGCCCCTGTGCTGTCACCACTCCGCTGCGTGGTGGCGGGCAAACGAGGAGGACTCTAGGGGTAATTATGGCGTACCCAAGCCTACCATAGCAGGGGGGAGAGAGAGAGAGAGAGAGAGAGAGAGAGGAGGTGGGGGGGGGTAGAAAGCGGCGTGACAGTTTGACATTAGTACCGCTCACGTCTCTGTAATTGCTGGCGTGCACATGTTGCGGGCCAAGTTTTGATGTTTGTGGGTGGAAGACGGAGCGATTTAGGATAAAAAACATTCGGAAAAACACCAGCGAGAGCCGCGATGCAGCTTTTGACGCACGGGGGGGGGGGGGGGGCACGACATCCAAAGTGGGGAAATTCAGTAGAGATCGAGGAGGAGACAAAGGAGCAGTAGGAGGAATGCAGATCAGGTGGGGGAGCCGCACAGATGAAGACTCAGGTGAATGACATGTGTAACATGGGGGAAGGGGAGGGCTCTATTGTGACGTATGCGTTGCATGTACACACTTCCACATCTGGTGCAGCGAAGTAAACATCTCTGCCTCAATGAGGCCTCAGAAAATACCACCGGTAGAACAAAGGGTAAACAGGCTGGTGTGTGTGTGTGTGTGTGTGTGTGTGTTACACTGGTTTATCTTCTTTTGTGTTCCCTTAACCAGACAATCAAGTTCCTTTTTGTTTGCAGCTGTAATTAGCACGCATCGGTAATAGAGCTATCGAGACGTGGAGACACACACACACACACAGGCACACGATCGCAGAGGGGGGATATCGATCGGCGGAAGGTGTGCGTGTGTCCTGGGCGAGGGAGTCCAGATCGATGGTGTCCTGTCACGTTGATAGATCGCCAATTGCGAGCGCTAGCTATTGAGCAGGAAGCAGCTTTTGGTGAGACCTGCCTCCCCGGGTGTCACCTGCATCCCCACGATTCACACACTGGTGTTGCTCCATTATCGCACTCTCAGGGATGCGCGGCACGTGCCACGTTGAGGTGAACAGAAAAACGTGAAAGTCTACTTCTGCTGGCTGCTCCATCCACCTTTTTTAACACCTTCCACTGACTCGCTGGACCAGTTCGGTCTCTTGCTTCCGGTCCCCTCTTATCTGTTTCATTTTACCGTTTTGTCGGCTCTGTCTCCCGCTTTTTCTGCCTTGAATCCTCTTTTGATCAGTGCTTTGGGTCCCCATCTTTGTCCGCCTACTTGGCTTAAGACTACGATTCCTCCCCTCCACATTCCGCAAGCTCCATTTTTCTTTCTCCCATGTTCCCCCTCACTGACTCCCAGCACTCCCTTCCTCTCTCCTCCGCTCCGTCACCCCTCTAAGAAGACTCCCACCGATGGACCTGAACCTTCTGCCCGAGCCAAATTCTGCCCCTCACTCTGTCGTCCTGCCCTCCATGTGAAGAGGAGCCCAATTAGCGTCCGTCTCCTCTCTTCCTTCCCCTCCGTTGTTCTCCTCTCCGTGTGTCTGCACTCAGACTCTCTGGGGTCGCTAATTAAAAGGCTTTACTTTCTTTCATATCTACTCAACCACTTCTTCCTTCTTTTTTTTTTTACCTGTTCTTCCTATTTTTGTTTTATTTTTGGTGTTCCATCTTTTTGCCCAAACCCGTCTCAACAGCTCTCTTGTCATCAGTCCTTCCATCTGTCTTCCTCTGGGTCTGGTCTCATGTCACCTAATCACTCCCATTCCTCCCCTCCATTTGTCACACATTTCTCTCCTCGTGTATCGTCTCCGCCTTCGTCTTTTTCATGCCGTTATGACTCTTGTTTAAATTCCCCTCTTACTTTGTCCTACATGGATTTCCCCTCCATCTCTTTCACATCTTCTCTTCTCCCACATGAGCTTGTACACTGGTAACTCTTCATACTGCGGCTGACAGGGAGTCTGAATCTACAGTCTAAAGCAGCGTGCATTATGCAGCTCTTCTGTTCTAATGGTGCTGTCTTGTCCAGAGTTGTTGTTGTTATGCTTAAAGCTGGTCAACCTTGACCGAAGACGGGACCGTGCATGCACATGAACGTCTGCATAGGTTTCCATTTGCACTGTGTGTATTTGGGGAGGGAAGTTTATCTCCCACTGAACACCCCTCAGTGGTCTCAATTAGCATGTGAAGGATTGTTCTTTTCCTGCTCAATACCGCTGCCTCGCTGGTCTGGAGGTAAAATGAACTTGTTTCATTGATATACATGCACGAGTTGTAAAACATTCTTTTTAAGACCGGCACGACTTTGCTGTGTAATCGCCATGTGCAATATTGACGAACTATCCATCTGCTGTAACCATCGGTTCCTTCAAGGCACTAAGGGATTATGGAATACCTGCTACCTGCCCCCCCCCCCTACCCCCTCCCTCTCTCTGTTCAATCACCACCTCTCGTTCCCCTTCAGTCCCGCCTTAATCTGTGCCTTGTAATCGTTACGCAACATGTGAACGTTGTCGTCGTTCTTCCTCCCAGGTTAACGGCGGGAGACCTGTCCGTCCAGGTGAATCTGAATGACTACCTGGACATTTACTGCCCCCACTACTCCGCCGAGGGGGCGCAGGGCCCCGGGCAGCCGGAGACGCTGGCCCTCTACCTGGTGGGGGAGGCCTCCTTCCGGGGCTGTGTGGAGACGAGAGGGGCCATCAAGAGGTGGGAGTGCAACACCCCCCACGCGGCGTTCGGACCAGTGCGCTTCTCGGAGAAGATCCAAAGATTCACCCCCTTCTCGCTGGGGTTTGAGTTTCTGCCGGGGCGCCACTACTACTACAGCTGTGAGTAGCGGACGTGTGTCCCAATGAAAGCTTTTTTTCCCTTGTTTGATCAGGACTCTTTTCGGTTGGTGATGATGGTGATGATCTGTGAACAATGTGCGGGAAATATCCACAGTTTTGGAACAAAAAACATCAAAGGTGACTCACTTTTTAAGGTGGTTGTTTTGTCGAACGGGACAAAAAAAATAAGGGAAAGTGTTTCTAAGAAGCTGATAAAACTACTTCAAGCCGTTGAAAGGTGGAATTAGGATCTTAAGGAGCCTAAATAATAAAGCGTATGGGTAATGTTGTTACCTTTGTGTACTCATGTAGTGGGTCCTTTTCACAAAGCTGGCTGCCATGTTTCTACAGTCACCCGGAATAGATGCACTAAATACCGACTCTAGATGGAACCCTGTTACATTTTCACAATTTTGGTGTCGGTCACATTGATTTTTCTCCCCAATTTTCACACAGGAGAAGTTTCTGTTGCTAGAATCTAGCAACTAAAACTTCATCTAGCAGCTAGATGAACCAAATCGTCCAAAGAAAAAGTTTTCAACTAAATGTTTGATGATGATGTTTGAATGAAAGGTTTCCTGACCTGTTTTCCAGTCATATCTTAACAGTACCGAGGTCCAAGATGTGGTTGAAGAGTTCCTTTTTAAATATGCAAAGGCTGCATCCTGCTTGGTCTTGCGAAAAATGGGAACAATGTGTAAAAAATGTGATTTATTTTTTTACAAATTTGAGGAGGGCATAAGACCAAGCGGTGGAAAAAAAGAGTGCATGGTATGGAAGGGTGCCAACAAAGGGACAACATTTCAGTGGGAACACAAGATCAATACAAAGACGACAGTGGGGGGGAGAGGGGGGGCGGGCAGAGAGGCAGATGGAGGTAGAGAAGCGTGGAGGAGTGACAGAGGGAGCAAAAGATGGACGCAGTCTGACCGTACAGGAAGGAGAGGGGAGGGGGGAGGAATCCACATAGGGGAGAGAAAGGGGGGGGGGCAACAAAAGCAATGTAGAAAAGGGATGGAAGAGACGAAGTGAAAGATTCTTTACATAAATTACTGTTGCGGTCCGAGGGACAATGGAGCATTGTGGGTGCATGAGAGAGTGTTTCCACGTACACACACGCACACGCGTGTATATATGTACACACACTGGGCTATTGTGGTTGTTCAGGCCCGTTTAGAGAAGAGCAACAATGCCTGCCCCCCCCCCCCCCCCCCCCCCCCCCCGTCTTTTTGGTCTGAGAAAATGGGGGGAAAGAAGATTATTTTTTTTTTTCTGCAAAAAAAGAAGGGGTAAACTCGGTCCAAATGTCTGGCTCTGGGGGTCCGGGGGCTGAAAAGGGCCCCCGCAGCACAGAGACAGTATAATGGCATCAGCCCGGGAGAGCAGCCACAATAGTATTAGAAACACTAATGGCATTAGTTGGCTCAGGCTCTTCTCCACGGCCCCCGCCGACACCGTCCACCCACCGTCTCTGGGTCTCCGCTTGACCCGCTGGCTCTCCGTGTCTCCATCGCCGCAAACAGGAAACCCCTCGACATCCGGGCGTGGAACAATCCGAGGGGGGCTGTTTCCACGGGACACCTCAAACTGAGGAATGCAGTCGTGATTAGTCAACGGCACTTCATCATGGAGCCACGCTGAAATAATGAAAAACCGTTTAACTACTAGAGTGTTGGATGTGTTTTTGAGTTTCATTTATTTGCACAATTGCGTAGCAAAGATTAAATCAATTCACATCGCAGAAAACCAACTCTGCTTATTTGATGCCTCAACCTAAATAATTAAATATTACAATATTATAGAGATCACCTATGTTTACCTGAAATATTCTTACAAGACTTAATAGGTGAGAACAAAAAAGGTTTTGTGTAAATGTGTCAAAATCAAAGGCAGGTTATAAAAAAATAGGTGGAAAATAATACATACAAAACAATTGCATTGCAGCGATTAGATGTTGTTTTAAACAATGGACGCAGTCGACGGGATGTTCCCCGTTGGTATGTGAGTTGTGTGTCATTATCCACATTTGCGGTCAGAAATCAGCTGAGCAGCCTTATAAGCGCTCCGTATCTCATCAGCGGTACAAAGTGGGACGGACTGGAAGCGGTTGTGTGGTGGGTCCCTGTTGAGTTAGGAGCCGTTTGTGAATAAACGCAAGGCCGTTTAACTGCGTTTCCCAGACCGGATTGTTTTTGTGAGAGAGAGCGCTGCTAAACTGACAGGTAATACAGCTCGTGTTTGCCTATTTTCCCCCCACGAGACCCGCGATCAGCACTGATGTCTGAGCGGTAAAAACGTTCGGCTCTCAGTAGTGCGTGTTATTGTTTTTATTTTATTGTGGACAGGAAGACGTCGGGACTCTTTTCATATCCGTGCATCGTGTGATCGGTTGATGAGGTAGACGACGAGGGAAAAAAACACACACATCCCCGCTGCTCCTTTTTAGCTTGTCTTGTCATAAGTATTCTTCAAAAGTACCAAGGGGAGTTCTCAAAGAGCGTGTTTGATGGGCAGATTTAGCCTTTTTTCATTTAACACGTTGGCGTTTTGACTAACCGTCGAGCAGCAAACCTCCCTCTCAATCTCTCCCTGTGTCTCGTTGTGCTTTTTCCAGCTCTGCCCGCCGACGAAGGGCCTCCTCTGCCATGTATGAAGTTGCGTGTCACCGTGTGCTGCGAGCCCAGTGAGTACCCTTCTCTTCATCGGCTCCTTCCTCCCGCTTTGTAAACTACTACCAGGGCAAGTTAGTGCTCTCTCTACCCTCTCCCCCCTCTCTCTCTCCTGTAGTGATCTCATTCCCCATTTCCATAAAGGAAGCTAAATTCATCTCCAGAATCTTGCATCGTCTTCAACCTTGTGAGACTACGTCTGCTCCACTCTCCTCTCCACGTTGGCTGTTAACCTTAATTGGATTGGGTTTTTTTTTTGTTGTCTCCCCCCCCCCCCCTCCTTGTCTCCCTCGCCCTCCCACTCTCCATCTCCCTGTCCCAGTGTGAATTCCCAGAGTTGATCTAATCCAGAGAGCGCCTCGAGTAATGTTAGTCTTCCAGTCCACTGAGCTGCCCGTTCCGGTTGGGAATGTTGCCCAGTCACTGTGGGAATCCCTGTACAGTTGTGTGTGTGTGTGAGTGTGAGCATTTCTACGTGTATGATCATTTTTGTGTGTGCGTGTGAATGTGTGTCCCGTCATATGCTGGTCTGGGTCGTCTGTCCCAGTTCCCATCCCAGTGCTATCTGCAGGGGGCTTGTCGTGCGGCCCAGGCTGAACCAACACACATTTTTTGCGTGTGTGTGTGTGCGCGCGTGTGTGTGTGTGTGTGTGACCTATTCACTTAATTTCTCCGTGTCGTTTAACGAATACCTCCCAACCGCACCGCCTTCCTTACATTCGTGTCACTTTGTATAAAGGAAAGAAATGTTTGGGCATAAAAGGAGCCCCCTTCCTCTGGGATGTATCGTTAAATGCCATCGCGGTTCCAGCACGGGACGGGGAGTCGTTTCCTGCGTTGTTACCGGAGCGAAGGCTAATAACTCAGAAATGTTAATCATCCTGCTGTCATTAATTAGAAATACCGCAAAAAAAAGCTGTTTACTGAGAAAATGCTAATGTGGTCTTCTGACCTTCTGATAGTATTCCCCAATCAGAGTCACCTGGAGTGTGTGTGTGTGTGTGTGTGTGTGTGTGTGTGTGTGTGTGTGTGTGTGTGTGTGTGTGTGTGTGTGTGTGTGTGTGTCCATGCTGACACCTGCTGTTTCCTTTCCTCACTCTTTCTCCTCTCCTCTCTCATCCTGTTCCTTAACCAAAACTAATCCCGACTAAATGTCAGGATCTCCCCCTCGTTGTCTTCAACTCCTCTGGCTCTTTCTTTCTAGTCTTCTGTCATTCCTGAAGTGGCACTAATCCTCCCCTTCTCTCTGTCTCCTCAGCTCTTCCTCCCCCCCTTCCTCCTTTTTTTATGATCTTTCGCTACTGGAGCAAAACTAATCTGGGCTCCCCCCTCCTCCTCCCCACCTCGCACCCCACAGCAGTCCCTCACACTCCTTCCTCTTTTCCCTTCGACTCCGCCCCCCCCGCCCACACCCAATTCCTCCTCCACCTTTCCCATCTCTCTGTAGTATCTCGGTATTCGCCGACTGCCCCTCTCCTCCATCTCTGTCGGGGCGCACGCTGTGCGGCTTGTGCGTCGGGATGAGAATACATGAGGCCGGAGAGAGAAGAGCAAACGAGATGGATGAGAGGGGGGGATGAAGGAGAGTCGGAGGGTCTCTCTCTCTCTCTGACTGTCCATTAGCGGCGGTTTACCACAGCTGTTGTTGTGTTGTTCCCTGTGGTAACACCTTACATACCCTCCGGTTGCTTCCTGCTCAGGTTGCCTTTTATCTGACAGGTAGCATGGCAGCAGGGTGTGTGTGTGTGTGTGTGTGTGTGTGTGGCCCTCGGTGATGGCAGCCTCTCGTCCTTCAGCTGCATCTTATCTCGCATCTGAACTTCAAACTGTGCACCTCCCCTTGTCTCCAGAAACTTTTGTCCCTTTGCTAAAAAGCATGCAATTAAATGGTGTTTCCACGTGGGGATCCCCTGTTGTGGGTGCTTTGAATTAATTACCAGCAGCTATGCGGGCGCACGCACACACACACACACACACACACACCTGCCTCACACTGGTCTAAAGGACTTAGTGATGATGGGTCCGCCAGGTACGTTGTCATTGCTCCAAGGTCAGCCACCACTCGCCGATCCCTCGGCCTCCTCTCCAGTGTGCGGATGTGTGTGTCTAATGCCTTAATTTAACCCAAGAAAGCAGGCAGGACACATTCGGTGTTGCAGGGAGCTCCTAATGACATCGTGTGTGTGTGTGTGTGTGTGTGTGTGTGTGTGTGTGTGTGTGTGTCCTTGCGGCAGTGCAAAGCAGGATTTGTAGGCGTTTTCTGGCGTGTGAGCCAATGTTCATTTGAACACAACGCAGTCAGGGCAGAGCGAGAAAGACTTGCCGAAAAAGTGCTTGAGCCTCTGTTGCATCAGTAAAATAGGCTCGGAGTCGTCATCAGCAAACTGGTATCATGTAAAAGACCCTGCAGCCGCTCGCTCCATGCTTACCTTTTTTTTTCTTGGAGCAACTTCTCCCTGAAAGTGCGGCTGGTCCCCCTCCGTCACCTTGTCGCTCTGCCTCTCTCGCTTTTCTCTTGTTTCGCCGTCCTGCTGTGAGAAACCATTACAGAGCAACTTCCCTCTCTCTCTCTCTCTCTAATTGATTCCCCGTTCTATCTCCGTCCCTCTCCTCTTTTCTATCGTCGTCCCGCTGTGAGCAGTCCATTGCATTCATTTCAGTTTGAAGGGCTTCGCCATTTTCCGCTTTTTTTTTTTTTTTACTTCAACGCCCTCCTTCACCCCCCCGCTCTTCTCCCCCAAATACCTTTGTACCCTCTGAACTCAATACACACAAGGACACAATACCAACATGCATGCGCACACACACGCACGCTCGCCCAACCGCGTTCTCGCGGATCCCGAAAGCTCTCAAATCCCCAAATTTCACTTTAACCGCTTTCATCAATTTGCTTTTTTTGCTCTGCGTTTTCCCGTCTATCGCATTTTAAAAAAAAATTTGCATAGTGCTAGCGGTCAGTGCTAGTTAGCACTAGCTCTTGCGTGTGTGAAATGGCGGCATAAGAGGAAAGGTGGGATGGTGGAACAGTGTCGGTCTTTGCGGGGGCTCTGCTTACTGGGGACACACACACACACGCATGCATGCGCACGCACACACACACACACACACACTTAGCCATGGTTGTGCATGTACCCGCTGCATGTTTCTAACTGCAGTGCAGATACGGCACCGCTCTCGCAGTCACGCGACCACAGACGCCATTTTGTGGCGAAGCTCAGCAAGACGGAAATTATGATGTTGACACAAACTCTTTGTCTTCAGTGGTCCGTTTTTTTTTTTTTTTTTGGTCCAAATGATTTGATTATAGACAAATCAAAACACGCGTGTCACACTCAGGCGGGTAAACACAAGGCATTTTACAAAGTGCGGTATGACTATACGCACGCACGCACACACACAAGCGCGGTAATTGCTGCTTTTCCGCATGTTTTTTTCCTCTTCCCAAGTAAATTATAGGTTTGATTTTAAAATAATTATTTTTATGACTTTTTTACATTTTTTATTGCTACTTTTGCGGCATCCAAAGTAGAAAAACTTACGGAATTAAAGCAGCAGTTGAGGTTGAAAAAACGGGGGGGGGGGGGGGGGGGGGGGGAAGGAATCCATTTTTTTTAAATTTTTTTTAATGTAAAATAAAAAAACTACACCGCGGGTTAAACCCAAAATACCGCCAATTAAAATTTTTTTCTTTTTTTTTTAAAAATAACGGCATGGTGTTTTTTTTCTATTTTCCCCCCCACACAAATACAATTTAAAACCTTCTGTTTGGTTTGATTTTCCGCCCAAAAAAAAACACACAACCACAAAAAGAACCGCTCGGTGAAAGGGCCCCCTTCCCCATGCGCCTTTTTATTTTTTAATAACCCCAAGACCGGTCCTGATTTTTGTCATCCGGGGGCTGAGTTAATGGCTCGGGGTGGTTGGAGAGCGATTTGGATGCACCTGCCCGGAAGACCAGGACGCCTGGCCCGAGAAAAGGGGGATGTGGCACCAAACCCCCCTTAATAAAACCCATCTCTCGCTCGTTGGATTGATGGAGACAAGAAGCACAAGTGCCGCGTTCTCCTCCCCAAACCGGGCTGGACAAGGGGATGCGTGGAGGGGCGAACTTCTCTGGAGAAAACACAGATATATCCCCCCTAGATTAACTGTCACATCCGTGTTTCTCCAACATCAAATGCGTGGGCCCTGCTAAAAACACGTTCTCTATAGGCTAAAAACTTCCACAGCAAAGGAGCGCGCAAGCGGATTGATGTGCCACAATGTGAGCACAGCGGACTGCATCTACTCTCCGTGATCGGAGCATCACGACGGG